TAGAGTATTTAATAATTCATTAGAATCTATTGAGTTGTGTTGGATAATGGTTCTTTCTCATGGAGAAACATTGTGAACAACCCCGCGTAGATACTCCAAAGCATCACCCTCATTAACCCACGACGTTACCACCGCGTAGAGACGAGCATCGTAATCACAGTATTTTTTCCACTTCCTTGATGAAATGAGACGGCCAGCATTAAATTGCTCCCAAATCACTTCAGACGACGCTTGCTCGACTTTCAAAGCATTGATAAATCTGCCCAACTGCTCATGATTTCTACCAACACGTTGATGAGAAGCATTACCAGCTGATGTATAACCATTACGACGCTGAACTCCGATCCAAGTATCTTTAAAATAATCAACAAAAGGCTTTAACTCATCATGATTAACAACCTACTCGGAAGAAATTAAACTGGTGGAAGCTGTAGCCACGAAAGTAGGAGGGACGAATGCCAAAGCAATTGACATTTTTATATGCAGAGCGAACTCGTCATTAGAATTATAGTGAGATCTCAGCCCAGAAGTATTCAAACTTTGTGTAACAACAATTTACAGCCCCTCTGACTTAAAACGAAGTGCAGAGGCATGACGCACGGTTACATATACACCACATCAAAACAAAATGATAACTGAAATCGAGTGAAAAGTAATGCGAAATAATAACTTCCCTACCTTTAAATACCACTATATTATTCTCTGTTATTATCCCGTGATCGAAGTAACTTGTGATAGAAGAATTTGTGGTGACTTGTCCATGTAACACCCCATCCAAACTAAACGACAACTGAAATCGATTTAAAAATAATGCGGAATAATAACTTCTCTACCTTTAAATACCACTATATTATTCTCTGTTATTGTCCCGTGATCAAAACAGCTTGTGATAGAAGGATGTGGTGTCTTGTCCATATGATCAAATTTGTGATCATTTGTCCCGAAATCAACTGTGCCCATGATAAGTAGAGGTGATACCGATCCCTCAGCTAATGTTGATTGGACCAGTCTGTTGATTATTTGAATCGGCTGTTTAAATTTCGTCTAGAGTGGCGATCTCTGCTAAATCTGTTGAAGATCTCTTTTGGAGATATAGCTGAAGAGCTGACTGTTGATCTGAAGTCCGCGCCCCCCTTTGGTGAGACTGGAACCTCATGCTGGTATTGTTCTTTCTTCTGGTAAGCCCTTTGTCGACTGGGAGAGGCGTAAATTCCCCCAGTTGTCGCCGAGCTCGTTGTTGTTGATTGCTAAGGGGAGGAACATAGGGTGACAGACGTATCACTTGCCAATATAATAATAAATGGAAGATGATACTTAACTCTCAATCCTGTAGTTCCTGGATTCCCCTCCACTGTTGATGGTGATGTACTTCAGTTAAAATTAGCGCCAGAGTTGACTCCTCTCACGTAAGCCTTGATAAATGTTGATAATTCTCTTGGTGAGTTTCTGCCATGCCTTCTCATAATTTTCAGACGTCACTGTGAACGTAGCGATGAGAGCTGCTGCCTCGAAGATGATCTTTGCAAACCCTATGTCTTGTTGATTTACTAAGACTTTCTTGACGTCATTGACCACCTTTTTTCTGACATGGTGAGGCTTTGGGCTAAGTATGGGTTCGTTACTGACCGCTGAGTGTACCGAGTGCTGGCGTTCGTCTGCTGCTTGATGCACGTGGTAATGCGGCTCAGGCGTTGAAGTGCTACGTTGATGGTCAAAAACTTCCACCATCCTACCACTCACGACACGAGATACTGATTAACACTGTGTTTTCACTGCCGTCCTTACGGAATGTAAACACGTTGAATACGAGAGTGGTTTTCACAACACTCTGTCCGTTGAATAACTCGTGTGAACCCCGAAAGTTCGATCAACACGAGGCGTCTTTTTTTTAATTTTCACAGCACTATCATTAATGCGAATCCCACAATCCGGCTCGAAGGACCACTGTTTGAAATAAGAAGCTAATTGTAGGGTGGATGTGGGAGGTGTTATTTCAGGATAGGCCGGAAATTGATTGAAGCACTGATGTATAAAACGTCACTATATTTTAGTGGAATCGAATCACTTTGTTAACCGTAAAATTTACACCTTGGTTTGAACTAGTTTATTGAGCGTCTCAAATTATTAATACAGAGGTTGATGTACTGAATTGTTAAATAACCGTTAAATGTCCTTGATAATTGTCTCTGATAATTCACTGAATTTGAGGTGATATACTTTCACGTAATGCGGCGGTGATGTACTTTGAACGACACGTTGATTCTACAAAGGCTGATGATGTACTACTTTTTGGGGTTTTCGCGATCGTCTGACCGCTCAACCGAAGGCTGTCGATGGTGCTCGAGGATTATCGATAGGACCCACCGTTTGACTGACAAATATATAGCTACGTTTCAAACAAGATTTATACCAAAATTTCTCCATTTCCTTGAGATCCCGAGATATTTTCGGAAAATTAATTTTTTGGACGAACGAAATTTTGTTTTTCTCTCCATTAGCCCCCGCCGTAGCCCCCACCATTTAGCTACTGAATTCTTCAGAACACCAAAATTATTAACACTGGGTGTCCGTCAGAAACTTTTCTGAACTTTACGATGAACACAAGCAAGGGTTCGAGCCTATCCGACAGAAGTCTTGCGACTGTTACTTTTTGTCTTATTAGTCTTTCTCTTTCTTTTATTTCTACCAATTCCATTGGTAGTAAGCTTCCGAATGGATCCATGTCAATTCCCTATTCCTAAGACAGGCATACATACGCGGCAAGGCCGCACACCTACACTCTGTCAGATCGACACACCGTCATTCTTCACATCTCAATCACCACACTGTCATTCTGCACTTACACATTATTTTTTTTGCACCAAATAATTTTCACTCACACATCAAACTTTATGTACACCAGAATTACACAGGACAGTTCTGTACATCTCAATCTACACAAACCCCAATAGCACCATTACATACACGAACTACACACTTTAAAATCACAGTGTTCGTCCAAGGCAAGCTTGATTAAAACGCTACAATTCCACTGATGCTAAACAACACATGTGTACTCCAATCGTACATGTGTGTTAGTCAATTTTACACAGGTGTAGAATGATTTTATGAAGTATTACACACACAGAAATGATTTAATTGATTATTACAATGCATTCGATCTCTTCAATGGAAAAAAAATGCTCTCTCTAAAAGTAGGCTCTCAAGTGACCTTCTCAAAATGACCCTCATGACAATCGACCCTCGTAACAAGTGACCCTCTCGAATTAACCCTCATGATAATTGACCCTCGTGGCGNGTACATGTGTGTTAGTCAATTTTACACACGTGTAGAATGATTTTATGAAGTATTACACACACAGAAATGATTTAATTGATTATTACAATGCATTCGATCTCTTCAATGGAAAAAAAATGCTCTCTCTAAAAGTAGGCTCTCAAGTGACCTTCTCAAAATGACCCTCATGACAATCGACCCTCGTAACAAGTGACCCTCTCGAATTAACCCTCATAATAATTGACCCTCGTGGCGAGAGATTCTCTCAAAGAATAACCGTCTCGACAATTGACCCCCGTTGCAAGTGACCCTCTCAAAATGACCGTCGTGGCAAGCGATCCTCCCAAAGTGACTCTCGGAGCAAGTGATTTTGGGAATATTCAGAGAGAATTTAGAGACTTTTCAGCAATTTCCATAGAATTTAAAAAGGTCCCGGAGATGTCAAACAATTTTAAGAATTTTGAGGGATTATAAAAGGACCCGAGGACTTTCTCAAAATTTCGAATAAAATTAGAGACTTTCCAGAAATTTCGATAAATCAAAAGAAAAAGAAAATAAAGAATTATAANAATATTCAGAGAGAATTTAGAGACATTTCAGCAATTTCCATAGAATTTAAAAAGGTCCCGGAGATGTCAAACAATTTTAAGAATTTTGAGGGATTCTAAAAGGACCCGAGGACTTTCTCAAAATTTCGAATAAAATTAGAGACTTTCCAGAAATTTCGATAAATCAAAAGAAAAAGAAAATAAAGAATTATAAAAATAGGAAAAATATTTGTAATATTTCACCGCTGGCGACTTTGTTTCCCCTTCAGTTTTCGAAGAATATTGCAAAATCTAAAAGGAATAGTAGATTTTTCGTTAAGATCTTGTTCGAAATACAGCCTAAATCTCCAAAATGGTTACGGTCGACTAACTCGGCCATCTCCGAAAATCTCCGTGAACTTTCGGGTCAACGGACACAGGTCAGCGCGGCACCCGGAAGAGTCAGTCAGTAGTAGTGTAGAAGTATCGTTACGATAATGAGCTAGCGTATTCAGTCAAACAGTATTATAAATTTAATAATTTTGTTCAGTACATCAACTTATTGATTAAGTTCAGAAATTTCAGTGACTCAACGAGATAAGGTGCAAAAGGACAATATCAGTGAAAATTAGACATTCAACAATAATTGAAACCAAAGAGTGTACCGAAATTGTGATAAGTGGTTCGATCCCACGCCAAATATAGTGATAATTTTCAAAAACGCCTAAATAATTTTCCCAACATCTCCCTCCACATTTTTATCCCACATCCACTCTAAACTAGTTCCTCACCAAACAGTGGTCCTTCGAGCCGGATTGTGGGTGAAAACGTGTGATAGCGCTGTGGAAAAATTTAAGGGACGCCTCGTGTCGAAAAACATTCGGGGTTCACACGGGCACGTCAACAGAAACTTCTAGAACATTCGACGTGTTTACACCCGCAAGGGTGTCGGGTTAACAAAGGACAAAGTGAGAGTTATAGTGTCGGAAATCGGGAAGGTTCGGGAGTGACGAGTGACGCCGAAGCCCACCAACGCTTGGCCACGTGTGCCACGCAACAGGCGACTTACCTAACTCGGCGGTCGGTAACTCACCTAACTCGGCGGTCGGTAACTCACCCAACGCAGCGGTCGGTAACTCACCCAATTCAACAGCCGATAACTCACCCAAACCGTCAATCTAGCACAGATAATCACCATGGAAGACGACACTAAGGTCATCGAACCCAACGAAGAAACTCAACACCCAGAGAGCGAAAGCGAGGAAAGCGAGCAAGTCTCACAAGAGGAGAAACTGTCAACAAAAAATGAGACAGTTACAACGCAGCTAATCACCACTCATGAGGAAATCATCAGTCGAAGTGGATCGTCAGGATCAAAGGAGCCCGCTCAACGAAAGTCAACGCCTGCAGCTTCAAAAACAGCACTCACCATGCAACAGGAAGGTCAACTAAGACTATTAACGTTTAAGGTAGAAACTCTGATGGAGATCTATCATGACCTCCCGCAGGACGTTGAAACCGAAGAGGACCTCACCCTAGAAGAACTAGACGGGCACAAGGGGATAATTGAGGCAGAATGGAGCGAGTATTTTCAGATTTATGCCAATCTAGCCGAGTTTCTTCCCCCTGATCACGAGTATGTGAACGAAAGGATCCATGAACGAGCCACCAAAACAAGACGACAAGCCCTGATGCTCATTGCTCGGCTGAAGGGTCAACTGGCAAGGAAAAGGGATTCAATCAGCAGCTCAACAGATCAAAGCCAGGCAAATCAGCTGAAACGTCTTGACATCAAGCCATTCGATGGGAAACCGGAAGAATGGAAGGAGTTCAGTGACCTTTTCTTGTCACTGGTGGGAAATGTCACGTCGATTCCACCAGTACAGAAATTTGTGAGACTTAAGGGATGCCTGAGAGGTCCAGCAGCAGCTCTCCTCTCCACCTTTCAGGCCAAGGACGAAAACTACGACAAGGCTTGGCAGAAACTCACCAGGAAGTACGAAGACCCTAGACTCGTCGCTCAGTCGTTATTCAACAGGATCCTGACGCTGCCGAAAATCACCCAAGCAACAGAAGAGAACCTCAGCGCCAACGGAGCAGCAGCATTGGAGACCCTAGATCAATTACAAGACGTGACGGGGCTGACGACAGACAACATCGCTGAACAGCTGATAGCCCATCTACTGAGGAGATCTCTTGATGCAGAGACACTCAAGCAATGGGAACTAAAGCTGGGAGACTCAAAGGATTTCCCGAGCCTTAAGGAGTTCGTGGCGTTCATCGAGGCCTGCGGCAGAGGGATCAACGCAGGTGCCAAGCTGCTATCATCAAAGGAACTCAACGCAGCTACGAAGAAGTCAGCTCCTATAAAGAAAAGGAGCACCTATACGGCAGCAACTCAACAGCAGGAAATTAAGGAGCCAGAAAGACAACTTCCTAGGAACTGCTGTGCTTACTGTCAGGACAAGCATTTTATCGCATCCTGTCAGAAGTTCATCGAGCTCACCCCAGCGAAGAGAAACGACGTCGTTATCAACAAGGGGCTGTGCTTCAACTGCTTGGGGCCACACACGAAGGCGAAGTGCACGTCGGAAAAGAAGTGCCACAAATGTAGCAGATATCACCACACTCTCATCCATGGAGGGAGTTCATGGACGATGAGCCCGCCTCCAGCCAGACGCACTCAAGCTGAACCCGTCCAGACTGCTGGAACATCCAGGCAGCAAGAAGATCACGGGAACAGTGAGTGAATGAATTCAATCGCAATAGCACACTCACCATCTCATTGATCATTCCTCAACATTAGAATCCAGTACATCACCACCAGTAGCAGTGAACTTCAACAACAAAATGATCAATGAGAAAGCAGAGAACATCAACCACGAAACTCACCAAGGAGAAGCAGATCAACAGTCAGTGCTGTTGGCAACAGCACGAGTAAAAGTCATATCACCGAGAGGATTCACGACAAAAGCCAGAGCACTCATCGACCAGGGTTCAGAGGTATCGTTTATCTCCGAACAATTAGTTAATCAACTGCATTTACAGAGAAGGGCATCAACAGTGGAGCTAGTGGGAATTGGTGGAATTAATTCAGGATACACCAGAGGAATAGTTTCAGTCACTCTACAATCGAACAGTGGGACTCATCAACTGCAACTCAACGCCCACATTCTAAAGAAGCTCACCACAATAATTCCGTCATTTTCATGCTCATCAGCGAGGATCGGCTCACTTCAGAATCTTCAGCTAGCCGATCCCCATTATCTCAGGCCTGGACCAATCGACATCATACTAGGGGCTGACAACTATGGGCGGATCATCATGGATGACGTTGTCAAGTCAGAGCAATCGAGAGTAGTTGGCCAACGCACAGTATTCGGTTGGATATTATCCGGACCAATCGAATGCACAAATTGTTCAATAAAGGTATCTCTATCAGCTGTACGAGAATCTTCGAATGAACAACTTCTAGAGCTTCTCCAGAAATTTTGGGTCCAGGAAGAACTGCCAAACGAGAGATCATCAACATCAGAGCTTTCACCAGATGAGTACGAGTGCGAGATGCACTTTAGAGCAACTCATAGCAGAGACAACACCGGGCGATACATCGTGAGACTGCCCCTCAAAACTTCAGCAGCAGCGCTCGGAGAATCGAAATTCAAAGCAGCACGTCAACTCAAATCGATCGTGAGTCGACTCAACACAGATCAAGCATACTCCCAGTTGTACAGAGAGTTCATCAACGAGTACGCAGCACTGGGACACATGAGAATAGCACCAGAGACTCCAGAACCCGTGCCAGCTTACTATCTACCACATCACGGGGTACTGAGAGAGGAGGCCATCACAACGAAGCTGAGAGTCGTATTCAATGGCTCCAGCCCCAGTTCATCAGGTATGTCAATTAACGATATACTGTATTCTGGTGAAAAATTACAGAACGATGCAATGGTTATCCTGACTTGGATGAGAAGGCACAGGCTCGTGTTTGGCACGGATATTGTAAAGATGTTCCGCCAAATACGAGTTCACCAAGATGACTGGGATCTTCAGAGAATCCTGTGGATCGACGAGAATCAACAACCAGTCACCTACCAGTTAACGACAGTCACCTATGGACTAAATTGTTCTCCATGGTTGTCGTTACGTGTTCTTCAACAACTAGCAGAAGATGAAGGGCACCGCTTCCCAGCAGCAGTAGAGACACTCACCAGAGGTCGTTACGTTGACGACATTTATGGCGGTGCAGAAACAGAAGACGGTCTCAAGGAGATCGCAACGCAACTACAAGGGCTTTGCCATGCAGGAGGCTTCTCTCTACAGAAGTGGAGCAGCAATTGTCCAGAGGCTCTGCATGAGTTGGGCCTATCAACTGACGAAGAAATTATCCAGTTCGAGGAGTCAGTCACCAAGGTACTTGGATTGTGTTGGCATCAATCCACCGACACATTCCGGTACAAATCAAAGGATTTCAATACGGCGACAATCACCAAGAGAGTAGTCTCTTCAGAAATAGCCCAGATTTTTGATCCACTGGGATTTATCGCACCAGTTGTCGTCCAGGGAAAGATTCTCCTACAAGATCTTTGGAGATTGAAACTAAAATGGGATGATCCTCTTCCAGATGAGTATGTTCAACGCTGGAAGACATTCCGAGAGAATCTCAACGACCTAGACAGAGTAACTGTACCTAGATGGCTGAGAATTTCAACAGAGACACTCAACATCCAAATTCATGGATTTGCAGACGCTTCAACGGTAGCCATGAGTGCAGTGGTGTATATTCGCACCAAAACCATCAACGACTCGACATCAACAGTACTGGTATGCGCGAAGACTAAGGTAGCACCACTCAAGCGCATGACCATCCCTCGACTAGAGCTCACAGCAGCTCTTCTACTGACTCAGCTAGTGGCATCAACGAAGAAAATGCTCCAACTCGACCAGGTAGACACCTATCTCTGGTCTGATTCTTCAGTAGCACTAGCTTGGATCAGGAGCCACGCATCAAGATGGAAGGACTTCGTCCACAACAGGGTCGTCAAGATCCAGGAAACTCTCCCGAATGCTACCTGGAGACATGTCAGTGGAAAGGAGAATCCAGCTGATTGTGCCTCCAGAGGCATATCACCGAGCCAGCTAGAAGATCATCAACTGTGGTGGTCAGGACCTGAGTGGATCAATCAGGATCCTGAAGAATGGCCACAATCATCAATCGACGCTCCAGCAATGGACATCCCAGAAGTGGCCAGAGAAGCAAAACCAGCACCAGCACATCCAGTTGCAATTAAAATCAACGAAATTGCAGAGCTACTCAACAGATATCAGACGATGGCTAAATTGCTAGCCGTAACAGCTACGGTCAACAGAGCTATCGACAGATTCAGGAGGCAGCCAACGCCCCCGGGACCTGTCTTGACAACAAGAGAACTCAACGACGCGAGGTTATTTTGGGTAAAGATAACCCAACATCAATACTTTGGGCCAGCCATTCGAGTACTCCAGAAAAATCACCAACTACCGAGAAATCATCAACTAGCCAAGCTGACACCCACACTAGACAACGAAAGGATCATGAGACTTGGGGGACGCCTCAAGAACTCGCAGTTAAATCCAGACGAAATTCACCCAATAATCTTGCCTCGCCAATCACGCCTCACCACACTAGTCATCGAAGAAGCTCACCGGAAAACACTCCACGGAGGAACTCAACTCACCTTGGCCTATACCCGACAAAGGTACTGGATAATCGGCGGCAGAGGCACAGTTAGAGCATATATTCAACGCTGTGCCATCTGCACCAGACACCGAGGAAGACAGGCCCAGCAACAGATGGGTCAACTACCAGCAACGAGAATCTCACCAGCAAGAGCATTTCTCCACACAGGTGTGGACTATGCAGGACCATTCGCCATCCTCAAATGGAGACCAACGAATGCACAACCAGGGTCAGTGCACATTGCAGTTTTTGTGTGCTTCACCACATCAGCAGTTCACCTAGAGCTAGTCACCAGGCAGACAACGGACGCCTTCATCGGAGCCTACAAGAGATTCACCGGAAGGCGGGGTATTCCAGCTGTCATGTACAGTGACAATGCCACTACCTTCGTGGGCGCAGCAGAGGTCCTAGAGAAAATCTACCACCGAACATCCAGAGAAAATCAGCAGGTTCAGGCTGCTCTCGCCACCAATGGGACTCAATGGAGCTTTTCACCACCACGAGCACCCCATTTTGGAGGCAAGTGGGAAGCAGCGGTGAAATCAACAAAATATCACCTTAGAAGAGTCTTGGGGACAACAACACTCACATTTGAGGAACTCAACAGTGTCGTGATCCAGATAGAGGCCTGCCTAAATTCCAGGCCAATCTGTCCCATGTCAGATGACCCAGACGATCTCCAAGTACTCACCCCAGGACACTTCCTGATAGGTGAGCCTCTTCAACTGATTCCAGAGCCATCAATCATCGACAAGAACCCCAGCAAACTGCAGAGATGGAACCTGGTAACGCAGCTAACTCAACAATTCTGGTCCAGGTGGGCCAAAGAGTGTCTTCAACGATATCAGGCAATCTACAAGTGGACGCATCGAGAAGAGAACATCAAGGTTGGCGACATGGTGCTGATGATCGACGAAAACTATCCACCAGCACAATGGCCAATCGGACGAGTCATTGCGACACGCCCAGGAGCAGATGGGCTAACGAGAGTCGCAACTATAAGAACCGCAAAGGCAGAGGTACCAAGGCAGGCAGATGGATCACCAATCATAGAAAACATCAGAACAATCTACACAGAGCTTGACAGACCAATCACCAAGCTTTGCCTACTGCCATCAGATCCACCACCTCCAGAGCAACCTCCAGACGATGATGCAGAAGATCAACAGGACTAAAATCACCATTAATTCATCATCCCTGATGATGAATTGCCCCCGGGGTGTTCGAAATACAGCCTAAATCTCCAAAATGGTTACGGTCGACTAACTCGGCCATCTCCGAAAATCTCCGTGAACTTTCGGGTCAACGGACACAGGTCAGCGCGGCACCCGGAAGAGTCAGTCAGTAGTAGTGTAGAAGTATCGTTACGATAATGAGCTAGCGTATTCAGTCAACCAGTATTATAAATTTGATAATTTTGTTCAGTACATCAACTTATTGATTAAGTTCAGAAATTTCAGTGACTCAACGAGATAAGGTGCAAAAGGACAATATCAGTGAAAATTAGACATTCAACAATAATTGAAACCAAAGAGTGTACCGAAATTGTGATAAGTGGTTCGATCCCACGCCAAATATAGTGATAATTTTCTAAAACGCCTAAATAATTTTCCCAACATCTCCCTCCACATTTTCATCCCACATCCACCCTAAACTAGTTCCTCACCAAACAGATATTATTTGTAGCTCTGAATGTGCTCCACAAAAAGGCTAATCGACAAGATCTCGCTATCTCCCGTAGATTTCAAGATATTGCTGAAAAACTGATGAAAAAAATCAAAACCAAATACATTTTCCGATGTTTTTTTCCTCGGTGACGATTGGAGATCCCATGATACCGTTTGGACAGCGAAGTAAGTACACTGAAAGAAGTATTTTAGAATCTTTCCATCGAAATTCAAACTACCTGAATGCCAAAAATGATATTTTTTACAGTATTGTTCGGTGCTTTGCATTTTTTGCACTTATTCCTCCTTGAAAGATGTAAAAAATTGAAAAATTAAAACGGTTTAATAATTCAACAGTTTAATAATAATTATAATAATTGCAATAATTATAATAATTCAATACAACTATAATAATTCTGACCAGAATCCATTTCACTTCGCATCCTCTCTATTTTGAAACCCGTTATTTAGCACTATACGGTGGAAAAAAATCAGTTGATAGCAATAAAGAGGCTGGAGACGGCCTACAAGAAACCAGTTCAACTCAGTTTTGTGAAAAATGCATTCGTCAATAAAAATTGTTCAACGAATTTTTGATTCACCTGACGCAGGTGGAACCCACATCCAGAACGTTCAGCGTTCGGCAATTCTGCTGCAATGGAATTGGTCAATGCCCTTTCAAAATCTGTGACGGCGGTCTGGATCGACTGTTGCAGACCTGGAGCTAATTGATTAATCCTCCTCATAATTGCAACATACAAGTCTTCGGTACGCCGCTGCATCAACACGTACACTGCTGCGAAGCCCTTGATAGAAAAAGAACCGGAGAATAACATTGTTTTTTTCCTGTCGCTGTTACCATGAAATCGTGTATGACTCGAGTTTTCGGCAATGGAAATATTTAATTTACCGTATTTGCTTCACGAATATGGATCACTAGCAATTGCGAGACGCGGGGGGAAAAAGGTATCACCTGAAAAAAAAACTTTTTTTTCTTGGAACACACGAGGGAATGAATAATCATGAAGAAGCTGTGAAATCACCTTGAAGGTGCCATCGAAGTGAAGATGCCGAGCAGTATTCAATCGTTGCAGCATCGTTTCTTCAATAAATATGTGTGCAACCGCATCACCATTCTGCGCATTCGGAATATGAATTTGGCCTCTGTACGTATCATGCGTGAAACGATAATTCTCGAGGGACGCTTGCATGTCGAGCATTGAGTGAGGGATCGGAGGGCGGGTTCTAACCCGTGTCCGCGCTATCAAGGCTGAACATGCTTCCTCGGACACCAAGTATCGTGCTGCATTCGGATAACTAACGACACACATAATATAAGTCAATCGCGTTCGATTATCCCAAGAAATATGTCAGTTTTTGCCCCCACTCCTCCCGATTATAAGAAAAATTCAATTGTTTTTTCAATTCAAATTTTAAAAAATTTGATTTTCCAAGTTTTCCCACACTGATCTAATTATCAATTTTTTCAAATTCTTTTCGCAAGTGATAATTCTCATTAAAATCAATGAATCAATAAATTTTTCGCGAGAACATTGAGATCAATATCCAAAGAGTTCATAAAACTCACGGGGCTGCAGCTTGTCGATAAATACTGCTCGCATTGTCGATTGATTCTTCAGCCAATCTGATTATCTCCACCCTCATATGGAATTCTTCAATGAGATGTGGGATGGGTAGGTCCCTGTGCGTATTGTGCAAGCGTATTTCTCCGTTGCGGTGAATTCGCAGAATTGCTCGACAGCGTAGGGACAATCTACAGCTACACCTCAGAAGACCCCGATGGCGCCGATCACGGTGGTAGTTGTGGCCCTGGCAGATATAGCGCTCTGTACCTGCTTGTCTACCTTCAATGACCATCAAATCTCCTTGTGGAATGAGTATACCCTCGTCTTCATCGAAGAATTCCTCATCAAATTCCTCATTAACGAAGAGTTGATTTTCCCAATTTTGAAGTCCCCGTCTCCTCAGCGGAATGTGATCTCCATCAATTCCACCCGCCCCTCCCCCCGCAGGATCCCTCTCGTCAGCGTCATCTTCTTCATCCCCAGGTTGAATTTCTCCTTCTTCCATGGCATCATTATCGTCAGGATCAAGCTATGAAAATGATGTTTGAATACGATTGTCACTATCAAGACTTTCTTTGACTAACCATCGTTTCACACTCTTGGATATCCTCACATTTTCCGTAGCCGAGAAATTGATACAAAGAAGTAGATCTACTGAAAGATAGGATGAGACTGTCACTTTGGAAAGCCGATTCGCAGTGAATTTTATTTGTCTCCCTTAGCAACGCTCGTCACTTGGAACAATCGTAATCACATTCACAGTCATTGAATAATCCGGAATATTCGAATTCCAGTTATAATTCGAAAGGAGAGCGCACACGCGGGGAACGAAAAAATAAATTTGTGACTTGTAGCTATTCGTGAGCTCAATTTCAAATTCATTTGTGACCTGTTCCCAATGTGGTCTATATTTTTTTTTAGGACTTTCATTTTTTTTTTCAATTCTTAACTGATTTTTTGAATTCAATTCATTCAGAAGTTATTCCTGGAGGAGAACTGATACAAAAAAAAACATCAAAAATGTTTTTTTTTCCGCAGCTTTTTGAAAAGAAATAGTTTTTACATCTTTCGAGGAGGAATAAGTGCAAAAAATGCAAAGCACCGAACAATACTGTAAAAATATAATTTTTGGTATTCAGGAAGTTTTAATTTCGATGGAAAGATTCTAAAATACTTCTTTCATTGTACTTACTTTGCTGCCCAAACGGTATCATGGGACCTCCAATCGTCACCGAGGAAAAAAACATCGGAAAATGTACTGGTTTTGATTTTTTTCATCAGTTTTTCAGCAATATCTTGAAATCTACGGGAGATAGCGAGATCTTGTCGATTAGCTTTTTTGTGGAGCACATTCAGAGCTACAAATAATATTTGTTTGGGGAATGACTAAATTTAGGGTGGATGTGGGATGAAAATGTGGAGGGAGTTGTTGGGAAAATTACTGATGAGCCGAATTTAAAAACCACACTTTATTTTGTGGGATCGAACCACTTTGTCAAAACTTATGTACACTCTTTGGTAATTTAATTGTTGAATGTGTAATTATATTGATGATTGTCTTTCACTGTTAATGCGTTGAGTCACTGAATTTAGACTGAATTTAATCAACAGAGGTGATGTACTGAACAAAACGGTGATCTTACAAAGACCGGTGATGTACTTGATTCTTAGTGAGCTAGGTGAGGTTCAAGAAGCTACTGTACTCGGTGAGGTCCGATATAAAACTTGTACAGGTGATTTGCCCGAGATAGACTTGTACGGTGAGAGGCTAAGCCTAAAACTGATTCGCGCGTGTTTCAGTGACTTATGACTGATGACCCGAAGGGTCCCGGAGATTTTCGAAGTAGGCCGATGGTCGACCAGAATGTTCTGGAATTTTAGTTGCGTTTCAAACAATATCTTAACGAAAAATCTGCTATTGCTTTTAGATTTTGCAATATTCTTCGAAAACTGAAGGGAAAACAAAGTCGCCAGCGGTGAAATATTACAAATATTTTTCCTATTTTTATAATTCTTTATTTTCTCTTTCTTTTGATCTGTTTATTAAGAAAAAGAAAAGAGCGAGGTGTAAACATATGGAAGTTATAAAGGAAAATGGGAATTCTAGAAACGCTTTGAATTCTGCGGTCTTCGAGTTCTCTCGCAATTTCTAGAAATCCTTCGCATTTTTAAAAGTTTTCAAAATTTTCTAGAATTTTGTCAAAATTTCTATTAAGTTCTCAATTTACTCCAAATTTCTAGCAATTACCTTGTAGAATTCGCCAGAGTTGTTGGACTCCTGAACTTCTCTCGAAATGTTCCCAAATTCCTTGTTTTCTTTTGTCGGAAATTTGTTCAGATTTATCGAAATTTCTGGAAAGTCTCTAATTTTATTCGAAATTTTGAGAAAGTTCTCGGGTCCTTTTAGAATCCCTCAAAATTCTTAAAATTGTTTGACACCTCCGGGACCTTTTTAAATTCTATGGAAATTTCTGAAAAGTCTCTAAATTCTCTCTGAATATTCCCAAAATTGACTTGCTCCGAGAGTCATTTTGGGAGGATCGCTTGCCACGACGGTCATTTTGAGAGGGTCACTTGCAACGGGGGTTAACTGTCGAGACGGTTATTCTTTGAGAATCTCCCGCCACGAGGGTCAATTATCATGAGGGTTAATTCGAGAGGGTCACTTGTTACAAGGGTCGACTGTCATGAGGGTCATTTTGAGAAGGTCACTTGAGAGCCTACTTTTAGAGAGAGCATTTTTTTTCCATTGAAGAGATCGAATGCATTGTAATAATCAATTAAATCATTTCCGTGTGTGTAATACTTCATAAAATCATTCTACACGTGTGTAAAATTGACTAACACACATGTACGATTGGAGTACACATGTGTTGTTTAGCATCAGTGGAATTGTAGCGTTTTAATCAAGCTTGCCTTGGA